GTTCGAAAAAAATGAGTCGATGATGAAATGCGCGTGCTGAACACAAAAAGGAAAACTTAGAAAAAAACTTTTTAGAAAACTCATTTAGAAATTCCAATTATCAACAAACATTTATTCGAATCACAATTAACCAGGGGAATTTGCAAAAGAATAATTTCATCGTGTTTATTTTTTGGTGAATTTTTCATTTTTAAGAAAATTTCACTCAAAACAAATTGAAACTGAGTCGATGATGAAATCTAATAAAATAAAAAGGAAAATTCACAAAAACTTTGTTTGGGAAAACTTATCAAAAAATTTCTAATTAATAAACATCTAAATAATCGTATCACAATTAATTCGCAACAGAATAATCACACAAAAAGAATTCTTTCTTTAATTAAAACAACAAATTCCATTTCATTATCACTCTGACAACGTGCTCACACTGCAAAGTCAAGTTGACAATTGACAACTTTCCTTTTCAACATGCTCTTTTCAACGCTGAGCTTTTTGACGTTGTTCATAAACGACATGCAAATTTCAAACAACAGGATCATCAAAAGAAAGGTTTGTTTGATGAGGCAATCATCAAACGGACCCCATCATTCCCAATACACTTAACCAAATAATTAGTTTTGTATATTTTATTGAATGGGATTTGGATATAAAATGAAAACGTCAACACGGTCAACGATGATGACCACGATTACCGGGGCTTCGTATTCGTACCGATAATCGTTTCGATCGATTCGGTTTAGGGCTGCTATTACTATGACGTTTACTACGTGCGGGCGATCGTGGCGATCGATGGCCATGACTGCGACTGCGAGACTTCCTTTTACTTTTCGAACCACTTTTACGTGAACTGGATTTGAATGCACTATATGTTGAACTCCTTCTCGATCGCCGACTTGGTTGTCGACAACGACGACAAATGATCACTATAAACCAAATCATTATGGATAATACCACTATTAACACTACACTTGGCATAATAATCCACTGCACATCTAGCCAAAATGACAAGTAAAAAAAGACAATTGAGCGAAACTGAAAAGAAATAATCAACTTACATGCAGTGGAAATTCCTTGATCAAATGGACCCATATTTTTACAATTGAAGAATGATTTATAACTATTATTAGTGACTGGGTATCCAAATCCTTGATGATTATATGCTCCTTCATCAAATGTATAGATGAATGATCCACAGAATAAATAGAATTGCCCATTGCTAACAAATCCATTGAGCACCGGCCATTTGACTGGATATTTCGAACTGCAGTTTGGACTGGTTTCAATTAATATTTTGGTTTTGCTTTGATCGGAATAACAAATGTTGGCGAATTGATCATCGATGGGACCTAGGCCAGCTTTATGATCCCGAACACCACCACTAGCCAAGCAACCATATTTTTGAATCAAAAGTCCCTTATCCAAAGTACTGTGCCTTATGCAATAGAATTTGCATGGTGCTACCGTTGATATGTATACTTGCTTTGGTTGGTCAAAATATCTCCATCCATCAATCACTTGAGAGTCATCGATATTGTAATTGACACCCAATTTGCCAGTATCGTTTCGAGTATTAATGCAAATCCAATCGCCACTTTTATCGTTTACGATCCATGCATTGAATATATTATCCTTGACTGCTACAAATCGTTTGTCACTATAGAATTTTGGATATTTTTTCTCCATTGATATTGGCATTGGAAGATTTACTTGATTAATACTTGGCGAACCAATCGATACATCATATACATAGAAATCCTTTGTTATCAACAATATTCGTCCGCTCGATGTTCTTCCAATCAGCAATATATTCGGATTGTCAGTATCATTTTTCTGTAAACTTTCACAGATTTTCTTTTGTTTTGTTGCGAAAAAGTTAGCAAATTGATTAAACAAAATTGAAAACTTACATCAATTGATGTTGCATTGGTTGCATTGGTTGTCATTGTTTGCATCATGATTATCATCCCCATGATTGAAATGCCCAGAATAAATGTCCGCTTTGATGGTGGTAATGACATCATTTTCAAATCACAAGCCATGCACAATTGACCGATTGGAAAACAAGGAAAAAACAAATTGCCGTTTGCTTCCCTGAAAACAATTGCCCATATTGTTCATTCTTAATACATTTCCCCTGTATTGTTGTCATTTATTTTAATTGTAAATTAAATTTAAAACAATTTTCATTATGTTTACTATTGTAGTCGATATTAATTTTTACAAAAATATCAACGTCATTAGCAGCAGATAACATTCGACTGAAACGAACAACATTGAATATGGAAAAATGTATGATTTTATTATTTCATCAAATCAATTGAATCATCATCATTGAAAAGACATTCTCTATTTAATATTGGCAACAATCACTTGAAGAGAGATTCAGACACACTCTACAGCTAACCAGCTCCCAAAAGCCACAGTACCCATAGCACCGACGCCCATGATTGAAGTTCGCACTCCACCTTCTTGCATATAAAATCCTGAGAAAATGGCGCAACTGGCAGCTCCAACTGTAGCCATACCGAGAATAGTCTTCTCTATTATCCTTGCTGCTTGGATCTTTTTAGCGAGCATTTCACCTCGTTGTTGTTTGTTGATTTTATCAAATTCCACCTTTGCATAGCATTCCATAGTATCGGCCATCAGCCAAATGGTCATCATCATCACCATCATGATGCAAATATGCCATGATTTCCGCATCATCATTATTCTATCGATTGGCTAAACGAAAAACAAAATTCCACTCAAATGCAACAAGATCAACTTTTTCAATCGAATGTTGAATTGTTAAAGAAATTCTTTTTCAAATTCGATTTAAATTGCAACAATGCTTATTGTTGACTAGCGAAAAAACTAGTGCAGTTCAATTTGAAATGAAAGTTAAAGTTTTTAATCAATTTTTAGTCATTTTTTAGTAATATTTGAAGCTTAGCGATTCGGTTTCATAAATGATGCAGCAAACCAGCTGCCAAGACCCAAAGTGGACAGAGTTCCGACACCCAAGATATATCTTTTGAGAGGACTGTCTCCCATAAAAATTCCCGTGGTAGTTGTGCAAGTAACGGCTAAAATGGTAGCTACACCAACAACACCTTGTTCGATGGCCTCTCCTTGTTCGATCTGTTCGATGTATATTGGTGGATGTTTGCCATCAATTTTCGAATAACATTCAATATTGTTCACCATCACCCAAATGGTCATCACCATCCCAATAAGCCCCATCATCATTATCAATTGGATTTTAGCAGAACAAACAACTTGAACTAAATTCTAAACAAATGGTGCTTTGCTTGGGCAAACCACCGACTGATATTTATTAACATTGCTATTGTTATCAATTATAAATTCAAATCTAATTCAAACCACTTTAATAGTTAGTCGTATGTGAGTGACATTATTCATTTTGTGAAAACCATTAGAACAGTTTGCTTGTTTTTCGTTTAAGGTATTCCTTTTCGGTCATGAAAAAAATGGTGATTACACCACGAACATTTCTTTTGTCCCACGCAAAAGTTTGATGGTAAAGTTGCTGACTGACGGCTAGGGCCATCACTTGTCCATTGCCAACATCGAACAATACCTGCATTTGGTCATTGTTGTTGATTGCTTCTCCCAAATAGCGACCATAGGAAATGTAGCGACTTAAGAATTGTAGCATTTTTTCCTGTGCTTGCAACAAAGCCAACTCAACATCTGTTGGAAATCGATTGGAGAATAGAGACCATCATCACTATGCCATAAGAATAATATCGGCTTACCTGACAAAATTTGGTTTGGAAGTGATTGAAGATCTAGTTGCAGTTTTTCAACCTGTGACCTAGCTTGGCTACTGTCTCTAGCCCATCTGATTCCATTAAGTCGTTGCCTAATGGGTTCCAATCTTTTGATAATATCATTCATGTCAATCAAACGGGACCATTGATCGAAATGACGAACAAACGAATGCAAAAGACCCTGATGGAAATTATTCATCAAAACTGCACCCTATGTATAGAAAAGTATGATTGAAATCGTGCTTGGTCAAATGGGTGAGACACTCACTGTGTAATTGAATTGACTTGGCATGGCTAGATATAGATAACGAAGACCAACGATAAGTTGACATGTTCTCTTCAGATTACGTTGTGGAGCTCGATTGTGATCACCATTATGATCTCGGATATTTCTCTGCAGTTGCTCTTGTGTAATGTACTGATAGGTGGAATAATTCTTATCGAATGTTTTATTCGATGATTGTTGGTTGGCGTAATTTTTGGCTTTAGCATATTTTTCATCCGTATCACCTTTACATTGTTCTCCTTGGTATTGATCGGCCAAATAAGCTTCGTTGTCAGTAATGCTGAATCAATCAATCAATCAATGAATAGATGATAGAAATTGCACCAATCTACTTACCATCCATATGATGTGCTCCGTACCTGCCCTACTATGAAAGGCTCGGTGCTTGGTGCTTGTTTTGGATCAAATGCAGGTGCAGGTGTGCCATGTTTCATTTTGTCAATCTCTGCATACAAAGTCTTGCACTCCTCACCCAATTCAAGAAGTTGGCCAGTTTTCATGGTACCACCAGGATGATAGTTACTTTCGAATAGTTCATATTTGGTTGCCAGTTCAGCTTCCATTTGTTTTAGTTTCAAATTATCGCCAACGCTAGCCTTGAAATTGTTCGATTTCAAATTGTTACTGATCTTGGTCCCTATTCTTCCTCCACTGTATCCTGTTAAGCCATCCCCCACAATGCTCATTGCTGCATCGAAAACATTTCCCCCATTCGGTTCAGTAGCCATTTTGTCCATTGCAGCGATGATTCCTTTTGGTTTTTCATGGATGATAGAATCGGTCGAATCGAACGCTGCACCTGCAGCAATACCGGCAGGAATGGCTGCAATACCTCCACTGGTTACGGCAGCTACCGCTCCTGTTCCCATTACTACCGTTGTTCTTGTTGCCGATTTGAGTGCTCGATTTCCACCTTTATGATCTCCTGCAATATGATGTATGACACCTGACACCATTTTCATGAGGAAAATTTATCATTATCCTTCACAAAAGTCAAACCACCAACCTTTGACATGGCCAACCACTGGTAGGCCATCGAGCACATTGTTTACGGTACCAAGACATCGAAGTTGAGTGTCCAATGCGGCTTCTTCATCGCCTGCCGCCAATTCGACAGCCGATCTAAATTGCGATACAATAGGACATTCACGAGAGAAATTTTCTTGAGTTTCACGGGCGCCTTTCACATCACCGGTGACTATCTGAACCAAAGATTTAACCTGTGACACAACCGGTATCCAATCGATGCCTGGCATCACGCTTTATTATTTCAATATAATATGCTCTTTTGTAGTGCGTCTCAATGATAACTCAACAATCATATGCTTGGGTGGCACAATCAAATACTGTTTTTATACTCATTTAATACTTGTTAGCACAACACAACGATAAGCGTATCCTAGCATCATTTAGCAGTAAGCAACATTATACAAAAAGATAACCACAACATTGCACAAACTGGCAAAAAACAATCAACCAAGGCTGACAACAATTCAATCAAACACTATTAATGCTTTTTACTTTCGCCATCATTTTCAAGATTGATGCAGCAAACCTATCAACTGCCACAAATCCTAAACAAGCATCTATTTGAAAGGCAATAAGTTTAGTGTTGGAAATGTTTGATAAAAATGTCATGTTTATTGATCTAATA